CAGGGTTGGGACCCTGACTTGTCTCACTTTCTTTGTGCCTGCCGACCACGCCACATCGAATAGATAGATTATCCATATGAAATACTTTATTTTGTTCTAAGTAATCAATCAATTCTGCGCTTCTTGGAGGTATTGAATGTGATTTATTATATTGTCTTGTTATTTTGTGTAATTAGTTGTTCGTTATTTATCACACATTTTCGCATAATTGTACCAAACTACTAAGTATTAGCTGTTTACAGCAATCATCGGTGGCTTGCTATTTTGTTACTTTATCGACGCTTCATAAACCAATCGTTATTGTTTCAAGATGGAGGGTAAATGTGTTGGAGAAGGGTGTCAAGTATACTTCAAGAAACGTAGTGGCAATAAGAACAGAAGTGCACGCAATGTAAATAGTCCACAATATAAATGGCTCCTAGATACGCTGGTGCAACAAGGATTGATGTCAGCAAAGGAACAAGCACTTATTTGCCAGAAGTGCTACATGAAGTATCTTCGGAACAAAAATCAGCCTGAACCTGAACCCGAGCAGAACCAGGAAATAGAGGAAGAAGACGACTCCCCGTCCCATATCCTGCCGTTGCTGACCCTTCATGATCTTTTGAATGGATCATCTTCACACAAAAAATGCTGTCTCTGTCTTGTTACCTTTGCAAGAAATGGAACAAAATCATCAGTCTTACCAAAACGTGCAAGACATCACCTGATCTATTCACACAAACTGTGGTGTCCCACCTCATCCCGCGTCTGCTCCATTCACCTTATTGGTAACGACTTAGATCCGTCTACAGAGGTTGTCCTTGATGGTAGAGGTTCCTTGGAATCTCAGTTACCATCAAAATCGTCCGAAATCATTAATGACCTCCTAGAGGTGTCGCACGTCCTTTCACAGAACCAGTCTGCGTTTACAATAAGCTTTTCTTCTCTTGATGACTCGGCATGCATGGCCTGGACAGGTTGGTCCAAAGATCAGTTCCTCGAAATCCACTCGCACTGTTCCCCATATCTTTCATCTGGTATATATACCAAGACTACACACGATGCTCTATTACTGTTCTGGGTAAAACTGAAAACCGACATTTCCTGGAGTCAGTGTTCTTCTCTTTTTGGAATTTCCAAGTCAAGTGTGTCCAAAACTTTCCACTCCATAGTACAGGCATTAGACACATCGATAGTCCCACAATTTCTAGGTCCGGATCACTTGACAAGAGAACAGTTGCTCGGGCACAATACTGTCTTTTCAGAAGCATTTTTTGGAGATAAAGCCACTGCCATATTAGATGGCACCTATATTTATATCCAGAAAAGCTCCGACCACAAGCTCCAGAGAATGTCCTACTGTGGCCAGAAGAAGAGAAACTATCTCAAATTCATGAGCATCGCCTTACCAGATGGCTACATTCTGGACACAGTAGGACCATTCACTGGCAGCGAAAATGATGCTACAATTACAAAAAAAGTCATGGACAAGCTAGTTACTTGGCTACAACCAGACGACAACGTTGTCGTTGACCGAGGTTTTAGAGATGTCCTACCAGTTCTCGAAGCCTCTGGCCTCAATGCTAGCATGCCGTCATACCTGAAACCCGGTCAAAGTCAACATTCTGACGTCCAAGCAAATCTTGACAGAACTATCACCAAATCGAGGTGGATTGTGGAATCCTATCATGGTCGTCTGAAACACTGGACGTTCTTCCGAACGCAATTGGTGTCTAACAGCTTTATCAATGTCATCGAGGCTTTGCTTCGAACCGTCACAGCCTGTCTGAATGGTATTAGAGGACCGATCTACCAGAGATCTCCAGAGAGAGATGCCAAAGATAGGCTAATGGCTGAACGTATGAAGGACCGTTTGACAACACCGAATGGTTTAGCTCAGAGAGTCAAGACAGATCCGGATCTATCTAGACGGGCAAGGTCCGAGTTTGTCAAGATGGATGCATCTTCCGTACTGTTTCCCCGTCTCGATCTTGATTACTTGAGAACCATTACGTGTGGAACGTATCAGATATCTCTGGCTCCTGGTTACATCGCCGAACATTTAAGTGATGACGGAGACTATGAGGTGTGGCTTTACCAGCACTCCCCAGACCTTCTCCGATGTCAAATACATTCTCGACACAAAAGCCAAACGAAATATAACGTTTGGATACGGTTCACCGTTTCACCCGATGTTGAGGCCCCAATAAAGGACTACTACTGCCAGTGCCCAGTTGGAGAGAGAACGATGGGAATGTGTGCGCACATCTCCAGTATCTTGTACTACCTTGGGTATTACAGGACGCTGGAAAACCCTCGACCATTACAACCACAGGTAAAGAAATTCCGACAAAACTTGAAATAGTTTTCCATGCGGCAACGGAGTGCATATGTCGAAAGTATGTTTGGGGCTCGATATGAAAGATCCCCGTTACCATGTGACTAACCAAACTTATAAATATAGGTATTATACAATCGCCCGTAGCTATGAACACTCCCGTAAATGCGAAAACCAACCAAAATCATAAGGAACACGTTTTGTTTGTTGTTCTGTCTATTTGTCAGCCAATGTCTTCAACCACGGGGACTTGTGAAGTAGCCATCTTGGATTTTTTTTATGAAAAAGTGTTTCTCTCACTTTTTTTCATATCTGTGTACATATTCTCAACATACCGAGCAAATACTCTCGTTTTTTTGTTAATTATCTAAAGAAAGTCGAAAATCGGCAATTCAACCATAGGCTAATTCAACCCAACATTTGAAAATGTTCCACCACTTACATTTTGATGATTTTTCCTCTCATCAATAGCATATTACGTACTGTTTAATAGGATAAAAATTGGTTTGCATCCAACGCCCATAAAAGGGTGTATTCTCTAAAAAACACAGTTTTTGTGTCTAAAATGTTATCATCGAAAATGGCATTTTTGAGATTGTTTCTTCCATAAAACAGCCAAATGGCGCGATGGAAACATGATTTTTTGTCACAATCATGCCATGAATGTATTCTTTACGGTGACCATCATTTGATTAGATTTTCATTAATATTTTACATAACATGCACATTTTATCAACCCTTAGACAGCTTCTGAAAGGTACAACTTTGAGGAGCCATAAAAAACAAACCAAGTGACCTAAATCTTTATACTTTATAGATTTGTGACCACAACGGCATGGGCAATGCACCACCAACAGGAAATTTGAATCAGAGAAGGGGCCGTTTTGGAAACCGGCCCTTTAACAAAATCTTTGCCCCTCATGCCATTCGTAATACAAATTTTACCTAATTCATTTATTGACACAGAAGTTCTTCAGTAAGGCCTACTAAGGGGGTCATGAACCTTAAGAAAATGTGTCAAAACATTCTGAAGATAATGCACGTTGACATGATCACCGTCACTCACGCCTGAACCAGGCTTACATTTAGCACGATTACAAGCTAACGAAATTGGAAAAAAGTGGCTGAACTAATAGTCTATTTCTGCAGCTAGTACACTATAACATTCATATACTTTAAATCACTACATACTACATGTCACAAGTTTTAACGCAGCCACCGTGTCATCTTCCGTAGCATATGTTAACAATCTACCGGAAGTATGCGCACCAGAAATCGAAGAAATCCCTGGCGCCTCGATATTTAAGTCGATTTGATTAAATATTGATATTTTAAGTGTATAATAATGTTTGAATAATTAAGAGATATTCTTCATGTTTCAGTAGGTATATAAGTTGCATATGTCTTGGGAGTAAAAGAAGTAATATTTTACATTCTTGTATAGCAAGTGAGAGTTCCGTTTCCACGCGATACAGAAACAGAATAAAGAAATATGACGTTAGTCAGAATTTTGTTTTCTCCCTTTTCATTGGCTTGAAGTCAAAGATACACTTCCGGTTACCCCACTAGAGGGCTACTTCCGGACGAGGGCGCCCGAGAGCTACGCTCTAATTAATTTTCACGTTTAATATATTTTTACTGCATATTTATATTATGGTGAACAAAGAAAATGGCGCGGGACTGAAAGTATAAAATCATAATAATATTCATAGCATTCAGAATATAAAGAGGAGGAAAACAAGTTAATATAACACGACAAAATAACGACCTTGTGTTGTCAAAATGTTTTTACGTTTTATGAAATATATTTATGATTGGTTAAAAAAAACTACGGCATCAAAGCAACGGTATCATTAATACATCTTTTTTTTCCTTTTATTACCACTAATACAAAAATATTTTCGTAATCTATATCGATAAGACTGTATCACATTCATGAATAACATCTGGCGACATGATTGATCTCTTCGGCCGGTATTATTCCTCGAACACAAAAGTATAACATATTTGTTATTTCATTCAGTTGTCTTTCGACGAACCTGTGGAAAACTAGTTCTCAGCCATAGGGAATGACTCATGAAAGAAGTAAGTATTATATATCTAAAACCTGTGTGTCTTGCATCGATTAGCATGTATCATTACCAGACACGTATACCCTATAGAAAGGTTAACTTGACATCAATAGAACAAGTCTCAACTTTTGGGTTGAACGAATATTCGGTATAAGACATCAAATATGACACTTGACATTAATAACCAACAAACTGGGATATTTCTATAGTTTCTATTAACTTTAAAAAAAAATCATTCTCAGTAATAATTCGCTTCTATATCCAGAGTGTTCTAGATAGACGCGTCCTTATTCCTAATACACGTAGATAAATTCGGTTTACGTTTGAGGAAATATAGGCATTCAAATAAATCTAATTTGGAGACCGATCAATCTGAATAAAATCATATGCTGAATGGCTGTGTTAACAGTGTACTAAGTTCAAGGGAAGTAAAACGTTAACGAAGTTAATGTAACAGATGATTGTAATCAGATTGATTTGGAGACATGCAAATGTTTCTAAAGCTTAGATGTGTTGTGACGCTGAGGCCAATTTTATAAAATACCTAACTGAGTTATCACATGATCAGGTTATGCATATGATACAACTAGGTACTTTTCAGCGTGATGATGAAGAACTCACTCAACCAGAATCGGCCACAGAATGGTGATAAGGAATACCACCCATGTCATAACGGTAACGAGCCACTGGAATGTGTCGAGGATATGTCGAGATCAGACACAGGACAGGAGCAGATGTTATATGACGTGGCTGATAGTCCACCTTTTGTCTTGACCATAGTTTTTGCATTTCAGGTAAGTTGGGTTTAAATATAAAGTTAGCACAATTTGTTATATCTTTACATAATGCTGGTTTTCTGTTAACATTGTTTCGTATAGGCTAGATATTTTCTATCTCGCATCATTGATTTATGCACAGATACAAATAGATTATTTTCTGTCAATACTGTATACTTCTTGTATGGATATGTGGTTTCTCATTTCAGTGTGAGTATTGTATGTACAAAAGGTGTATTTTCTATCTAGAATGTGTAATACATGTTGAGATTGTACGTATAAGTTGGTGTTTTCTTCCATCTCTCGTTTGTAAAATCTGTGGATTAATTGGATGGATTTTTTTTTATAAAAAATCGCATATTGCCATCCGTTGTGGTTGATACACAATGCCGATATCACGTGTACGTACATCCGGATAGACTATTCAGTACAATGCAAAAGACTCAAAACAACGATTGTGGCGAAAAGCATTTATTTACGGGTACTTCGAACATGATAAAATAGGTTAACTGGTTTCGATTTCTAAAATTACCACAATCCCACTGTATGTCAAGACTAAACGGTTACTGCGACGAAATCTAGATAACATTTTCAAGTGGAATGTTGTCACTGGGGTCAAATGAACATATTTTTTACGTATAAATATCTTCAAGGATTTTTTCTCCGGTGTTAATGTTTGATTTGATGCCTTTCCTTTTATTTTGATGTCAAGTATTATCGTTTTGTGACTGTGTCAAATCAGAGTTGATGGCATTCCTTGACGTTGGTGAAACATGTTATGCTTGTCACACACCAATACATCATGTTATTTTATAACAATAATCATAAGTATATGATACGTATCAGGTCGTAAGAATAGCACTACAGTGCTGATATTGTATTGTTATAAATATGCGGCGTTAATAAAAAATCTTGTTATCTTGTCAATAAATGTTCATATTTCTCCTTACTCAAGTTTTGCTATTTTGATGTCGTATGACAACATTTAATTGAGATAACACCGAAAAGTTCTGTATTAGCACAAACATGTGGGTAAATATCAGGGTTCTGTACTATGACACCAGTGCATCAATGCCATTCACAGAACAACCAATTAAATATGGCTAGATCGGTTTTGAATACATTATTCGATCTTATATAGATTTCTATGATGCATTTGTATTGTTGCTATTTATTTGTTTCTGTTTCGAACGAAACGTTTTTGTGACGTTGTTCGCTTGTACAGGAGAGATTTTGACGTCACATTCTTTTATTATTATCGTACAAACAATGAATGTTTGTAATACTGATTAGGACCGTTTTCACATCTATATAATATCACTTTAACTATTTTCACCTCTATTATAGCAAGCATTGTCCTCCCTGCCAACGGCCCTGACCGTGTCGTTGTTTGTCGCCGACGCTGCGTGCGCATCTGACTTTCTTGATATCCGGACCTATCTTCTTAGTGCTACGTTGTTTATGAGTGGAGTGACGACGTTACTTATGGTGACAGTTGGAGTACGGTAGGATACGTTGTGTGTCAGTATATTATAATATGAAAAGGCAAAAGCCTTAAAAGAGCGTAGCTTTTGTTGATCTCGGATATTTACTGATTCAGAATACTGCTTTCAGAATGCGATAAGATAAACTTTATTTAAAGTCACCAAATTGAGGAATAACAATCAAACACAATCTCTAATGAGATTTAGACCGACATAACACCCCTCCCCCCCCTCCCCGTTTTTTTTTTTTTTTTTTATGAGAGTCCGTTCTAGGAAGTATGGCAGCAAGTCGTCCGTTTTTGAATATTATGTAACTTTTCCTGTCGAAGGATCGGATGGCTGAACGAGCCCCGAAATGGGGTCAGTTCGGACAGGCATTCGGGTAAGTTCGGCCCCCATTGGATCAGCTTAATTATGACGTCATAAAGCATGCAATATCAGATTTTACCGCCATTTTTACGACGTTTTATGTGTTTTAAAACTACATGGGCCGACCTTGCCACGGTATCATTGGCCGAACCTGTTCAGGCCCAAAATAGATATTTCAATAAATTCTTATCGTGCAGCAATATGGTAGTAGTGAGTGATTGGCTTGGCTTTTATGTATTATCATTTGAAGCTGTCAGTGTGTTACACGTTTGACTGTAAAAAGTAGCAATTCCGTTTCAAAAAGTTCGCATAACTAGAAGCAAGATCATGATTTTCTTTCTACCCTCTCAATAGTATTTGACTCCTGTTAAGTAATTTTACATTAGAGTTTTTCTCACCATTTTTTTGTTCAATGCCCAGCCAACTAAACTGCTAAGACCCTTAAAGATGTAAATATTAGCTCAAAAACAAAAATATCAGGGGCGGTCGAACTTGCCCCGTTTTACCGTATGTAGATATTTGTATCATTGATGATTGGTAAAAATGTATTCACAATATATTTTTAACATCAATGACGCCATTTTATCCCAGTCAAAGCTAAAGTAGATATTTCTTCTTGTGCGTAACGTATATGATGGGTTGGGTGGCGCAGTGGATAGCGCGCTTGTCTTCACCAAAATGGCCGGATTCAATCCCGGTCACCTGCCCGACCATGCGGGTTTTCTCCGCATACTCTAGCTACCTCCCACATTAAGAATTAAATCCTCTGCGTGCTTTCGTCAGGGCACAAAAAGAATTTTTGTCATATGTTTGTTAATTGCTATAGAAAAAGTGCATATTACATATTTGACAATTAGTCTAAGAAAATGTATAGAGATGTAAGTTAAAAAAGAAAATTAAAAAACAACAACATTGTTTAACTTTGATGTAACTGAGATCGTCGTTATATCGACATGAAGTCTCAATCACTTATCCATCCTTAAACACCGTATTGAATATCAAATTGTGTAACTCTCACCGAGGTTTGACAGGTAATGATGTCAAATAGAATTTAACAGTTTCTGTCTGTAACTAGTTATAAATCGGTACGCGTTGTGAAAAAGTAATACGTTGCTGAAAAGGACGTTGAACTCGGGTTGGTTGTCTGGAAAATTATTGTTAATTTCGTCATAAATGCATTAACCATTGTTTCTTTGACGAGTGGTGATGCATAAATAAATTATGTAAAGTCTATAATCAGACTTTCAAAAATGTTAAATTTTTCGTTTATATTCTCAACAATTGGAAATCAAAAGCTGATGAAAACATAAATGTACATGTTGACCTATTGGTTTAGTGCCGGCTCTTTTTGAAGATATCTCCCGGTAGAAATATTAACAGAACATGGTTGATGACAAAAAGGATCTCCAGAAACTATCCCCATTTTTACTTTTTGTGCCAGTGACAAAAACTGAATGAAAAAATCTTGAAGCGCCGACAATGAGATAAATACCAACGGACATCAGTTCCAGAAGTTTCCGGTTATTTTTCATCCTTCCGGAAATAACCGATGAATGCCGATGGATTGTGATGTGCTTGTGACGTCATAGTATGATAATCTCCGAATGAAGTTTCACGCCTGTTAGTATCAGATTTTATGTGATAGAATTTTTGATTCAGAATGTATATTAGTTTTATCTCAATAAACAAGTAATAAAACATGAAGATTGTTTTCACTATATGAAGATGTTCATGTATGGGTTAAAATTGTGTCTTTGCTTCAAGGATACACTTCCTGTTTCCCCACTGGACGTCTACTTTCGGACGAAAAATAATAAAGGCAACGTGTAGCAAGGGGAAACAATTCTGTTTACGCACGCATGTGTTACCATCTAAGAGCTTCGCTCGGGCGCCTTAGGCGCCCGAGAGCTACGCTCTTATTATACGATTATTGCCCTGGTGTGAGGGAGACCTGAAGAGTTGTTTCCCCGAGATAAATCATGTTTCTCGAAGGTGAAGCCCGAGGGAAACATGATTTATCGAGGGGAACAACTCTTCAGGTCTCCCTCACACCAGGGCAATAACTGTTTTATTATTCCGAAAATTCCATCAGTGGAGTCTGTGTTATATACATATAAGAAAAATGCATTAACATTAGGCAATGTTACGAGCCCTTTTGTTGTCACTCTTCGGACTGACCTGTTCGCCCCTATTTCATTAGGTCTGGTAGCATATATATAATACAAATACCTATCACTGTTAGTGTATTTATTTTGCATCAAATTAAACAACAGTAATAGCGCTTCAGCTGTTGGTAGGTGGAATATCTCGTTCCCAGCCATTGTTGATGATTGTGGTGTCGTTCAGAAAAAATCGGCCGTATGAGAGTCTAACAAAGAGAGACAGCTAGTCCGATAATGTGTGAGGGGTCCCGAGGGGGGATACTCGACAGGTAAAATGGATCGCGTGAGGGAGACTCGATGTTTTATAATCCTGTCATGTGACGTGTGTAAACCAATCAAACAAGTTTGTAAAATCTATGAGGAATAATAAAACAACTTGCCTCAAATAAGAACTGAAGGTATTTACATGATCGAAACAAAATGGAACCGACATTTTGCGTGTGCTGAACCATAGTTGGTATTGCTTATGGTCGCTTTGATGACTACATTATTTAACAAGAGTGTCATTCCTGATGTGCTGGTGTAAGCGTGCTCGACCCCCGGAGTCTGATGTTCTTTGGACATATTTGAGATATTTTTGGTTTGGAACAGCCAATGGTGAAATGATCAATATTAAATAAAATAAACGAAATAGCAGCTCGAAATCTAAATTCGTTTTCAATATATATATATATATATATATATATATATCGTATGCATTTAACAACAAGTTCACTTTTAATCGATAATGATTTGTGTTTATTATTAGGCTTCCATTGTTTCAAGGACCAGTTGCAGCGTATATCATCCCAATGTTGGCATTAAAAATGATAGACAAGAACATATGTATAGCAAAAGGCATGTATTGAGATCTATAAGTCTTAAAAGAATAACTAATAAATACATATTTGTTTTAGAAATGTTGTCAATCTGATTAAAATCATATGTTACATGGCTTCGTTAACTTCGTACTACGCCTGAACATCTGAGTGTGCCGCGGTCAGGGTCACGTTCAGGTGACCTTTATATTTATAAACACTCTTTAAATTTTGACCAAAAGGGCGCTAGGAGTTGTAACAAATATGTCGGACATTGATGAGAATGATGCGAAAGTTCTGAAGTTATTTGAGGTTGCTCGTCTGAAACCCGAACAGAAAAAAAATCGAAGCTTTATTAGAGAAGAAAGACTGTATGGGGGTGTTGCCTACGCAATTATTACCCAGTGGGTACGTTTTCCTTGGGGTCGTAGAAACGTCAGTTCCCGCCGCCATATTTGTTTTGGAAAACTAATCTGTTCGATCCCCCTCGCTATTTATCTATCTACCATGATATTCCGATTCGCTTGCAAACTTTTGCCAGCGCGCCTCTGATTGGTTCATCTAAAGGTCAATTGAACGTGACCCTGACCGCGGCACATTCAGATGTTCAGGCGGAGCCATGTAACAGATTATTTTAATCAGATTGAAATGCTGTATACTCTTTCTGAAAACATACAGGTTTCATAGGTTATACAAACAGTATGATTCAATATGGGCGCTGGATCCGCACAAACACACGTTCGCTGGATACGGATTTCTTAAACTGATATATAAGCAAAGACGTTATGACGACAGTGCAGACAAGTCTGATATCTCTTTCTGAAAACATTGGTATACATGTTGCAGACAGTTGTCTCATCAATATTGCGAAAAATCCATGTTAATTTTTTATGCAATTTTTGTGAGTGTTAAAATGAATGTTCATGCTTAGCATGTGCAATCTTTCATAGTGTAATTTTTATTAGATGAAGACCAATTAATTAGGTAAATGTATACGCTGTATTGGATAAATTTAATTATAATAATAATCGGATCCAGGAGATCCTGGATTTTTTTTCTAATAGCGATTACATGAATTACCATAACTTTTCGTTTAGCTAAATTATAAAAAGCAAAACACAATGAATTAATTCGACAATTTTTGTTGCCTATAACAGAAGGCGTACTTACGTCCAACACCAGTATGGAGCGAGCAAACATGACTAGTACGGCACAGCGAGAACTCAGTGAAGTTAAACTGAGAGAGGTTTGTTTGATTTAATCATCTCGCTTCTTTACCATTTTTTCATTCTCTTTACATATTTCACCATTAATATATAAATGAGCAAAAATTGAGGAATTTTTCATACTTGCGTCCTTTTGTATAATGCTGCGTCACGTGTGATCAAGGACATGGTCGTAAGGTTCAATTTATTTAAAAATCAACCTTTATTCAAGCGACATCTCGGTGAAGGTTTTTTTTCTCAAATACTTCATAAACATATCAAGTGAGTCTCCTTATGGACGATCTTATTTTGCTTATATACATGAATATTCATAAAAGAAATTAAGATAGTTATGGGGATTTCTACCTGTCTTACCAACGTTTTATTCGGGGTTCCGTCTGCGTCATAGCTACGAACGCATTCACATTTCAAGCCATTTCAGTGTGAACAAAATCACTTGCTGTTGGAAGTGTAAGCTAGTAAAAACTGTTACCGCGTCAACTACGAAGCGAAGAGTTGCCAAATTGTCAAAAGAAAGCGCAAGGATTTCGTTACGGAAGCATTATTCCGGCTTTGCGTATTGCAGAGTTATCTTCTCTTGAGAGCAGGTATTGATTGTTACGTTATTTTTTTTTGTGAGAGTAAAGTTATCAAATTTTGAGAAAACGACGTAATTTTCACTCACAAACCAATGACGTAACAATCAATACCTGCTCTCAAGAGAAGATAACTCTGCAATACGCAAAGACGGAATTACAGATGGGAAGTATTCTGTGAATACGTCATACATGTTTTATACATTAGTCTGATCAGCGGATACAAATGTCATATGGAAACATTAATGTCTCATTCGCAGGAAATTTGCATAATCGACTTAGTTCTATGGTAAGATAACTCCACCTTAGGGAAACAATGCTTAGTTTGTGAATGCCGTTGTAGACTATAAATATATATATAACGACATAGATTACTACACACAGCATGTGTTTTCAAAACACTTTTACATCACTTGTAAAATTATCCAATACTACAGTTAACACACGCTATAACCGCAGTGCCAGATAACATCATCTCTTTCGTATTACATTTACAGTATATTAGTACAATTTTCTTCTCTAGAAGGGTAAGTCCGAACCTGCATGTATGCAAAATACTACAGAGACATATCTAATATTTCACAGTTCCAGGGATCTCTAATCGTAACTGGGATCATACATTGCCTGATTGGAGCGACTGGTGCTGTTGGTTTCTTCCTACGGTATATTGGACCAGTCACTCTCGTTCCTACCATTTTGCTGAGTTGCGTGTACATAGGTATGGCATCGGCTAAGTTTGCTGGCTGTCATTGGGGTGTGTCGATGTTGTAAGTACCAATTGTTCCCGTTATGCAACTTTTTATACATTTATTTGCTTGCATTCACACAGAAAGAAACGTCGTTTTGTATGTATAATCAATATAACTAGACCATTTTCTGGAATCTGAAGCAATATTATCAACTTTCGTGATAATACCGACATCTTTTAATGTCTTACAAGGATGTACTGTTCAACTATATTATAACTCGGTTTAACGTCCTAACATTACCCTACCAGTCAATAGGACGTTTAAGCCAATCAAATAAAACCTCCTTTTGTCCGCCCGTTCGCTTACCATTTTGGTTTCAAATTGTGCTCTTCTACACTAGCTTATAATCAGAATGGACATACACTTTGTACAATAATTTAAAATATTTTATCTTGTTCTTCAAAGTTGCTGGCTATTTTTATTTAGACTATGATGTTCGAATCTATTGGTAGGGTTTTCTCTCTGATATGTCTTATCTTAGATCAAAGAGAGAATACTTAATTGCAATTACTATCGAACTTCTTACTTATGTTTCTGTGTTCGGTATCCACTTTTCAAAGTGCAGCTGATCGTTTTGTATATGCAAACTGAAATGAACCTTAACTCCTTATTCATGCGAAGAGTATTATCATATTTAACTCGTATATAAACTTCTGTGCTGTTGCAAACCATTCATTTTGTTTAACTAGCACTGCAGCGGTATCCTTATCCTCTCACTGTATCTCGGACACAAGAACATGCCGATACCTTTCCTGTCAAGAGAGAAAGGATTACATATCGTTTGGATGCCTTTCCATCAGATGTGCTCGGTAACACTTTCACTAATATTGCCTGATATTAATGCTTGAAAAATGTTAATTATTTATACTGATGCTCGCAAGTCGTTTAGATACTTTTTAGTAGTTGCTTCAAATCAAGATTTGATGTTTTATCAGACATTAGTCATTAGATGTATGCTATAACTGAATATCTAATTATCACCAGGCATTTGAAAAGCACAATATCGCACAATATCACACACTTATCACCAAATTACAATGGCAAAGAGTGACTTGAAGTCTATGGCGATACCTGTCCAACTTCTTTCGAATATTAAATGAGAAAAAAAACCCAGAGACAAATATTGCTTCGTACGTTGTACATACCAACGTTTTTATTTCTGCTAAAAAGAAAATTATCGTCAATATATCAATATGCATATTGCAGATATTGATCGGCATGCTTGCGGGCTGGGGTCTGTCTGCAGTGCTAACGTACACAGGGATGTTGACTGACAATAAAGATCATTACTCGTACCAAGCCCGTACTGATGCACAGCCAAATATTGTCAGTGATGCAAACTGGTTCAATTTCCCCAAGTGAGCGATGCAATTGATTCATTCATTTTAAGCCACCATGTATGGGTATTTGGATATAAATAAAATCTGTTTAATAACTAATTAGACAGTGCCTTAACAATATTCTCAGAAAAAGACTAATCAGTATCATTAATCGTTTGTCGTATAAGCTGATAGTCCTAGACTGATATAACGTTGAACATTTGTTATTTTGCTGTATTTTGTTTTCATTCTACGAACATTTACAAGTAGTTAAAATAACAGCAAGAAATGTCATATTTCAGATAAATTTGGTACACCTTTGTTCAACACCGGAGTATTTGTTGCATTTTTGATAGCAACGGTGATATCTATTCTCGACTCTGTCGGAGACTATTACGCATGCGCACGGGTTTGTAATTTGCCTCCTCCACCTCGGAATGCAATAAACAGAGGTATAGCAATTGAAGGTCTCTGTACTGCAATATCGGGAGCCGTCGGATGTGGTCATGCGACAACAACATTTGGAGAAAACATAGGCACCATTGGGCTAACAAAGGTTAGTGTTTCCCTAATATTATTATTCTAAGTGCATTTGATGTAGAAAGACGTAGTTTTGAGTTATAAAACACATTAGAAATTGTAAAGCGTGTATGTGGGCAAATTTTAATAGAACACAGCTGAGGTGATATACGTAAATGTTGTTGACTTTATAATTTCTCCTTTACTGTAGGTGGCCAGTAGAGATTTGTTTGTGGGGTTGGCGCTTGTTTACATGCTGTTCGGAGTGGTCAGTAAAGTGTCTGCAGTATTCCTGTCCATTCCCTATCCAGTTCTCGGTGGTTCTATTATTGTCTTGTACGGCATGTTTAATGGTATTATCCTGTCTAATCTCAAATTTATATCCCTTTCCTCAACACGAAATATATCTATTATCGGAACCTCGCTCCTGCTTGGACTCATGGTGCCGAAATGGATAGAAGATGAACCGGACGGAATCAGTACAGGTAAGTACGTACAATATAAACTTGCAAAACGTCACGGTTGAAATTGTTTTTGAAGATGTTGAGAATAATTAATATTTTAATAGTTTAAGTATGTGGATACAGAAATGCTTTTTTGCATACCTAATGATCTAAATATGTAGCTGTCTATCAGATATGTGTACGGGTATCAATCCGCTCTTTTCCAGTTATTAGTAAAAGTAAGGTTTATCTATACATTATGAGCATCCTGTTACGGAAAGGTGTTTTGTTGGTTTGTATTCATTATGTTTGGATTTTGAATCTACATGTTGGAAAGGATTGGATAATCGATGCAACTGTTCCGTTTGTTGGTGTTCAACACATCATTTCTGTGACAAACTATATGTTCACAATATACCCTGCCAGAACATTGTAAACGTGTGTTTTTTTGGCTTTTATTATACCAACAAAGCTACTTAAACATGTTTCATTTTGTTATATGGTAGTGATAGTCAAATGACTCGACACACGTCCAGTATACGCAAAAAACCTGTGCTGCCACCTGCCTAAATTAGGTATACAACATCATTGAGTCACGACTTATTATTGGTTAAGGGGAGAAAACCCTTTTTCATGAATAACACATTGTTGAACATTTTAACAAAAAAACATTTTAGTATACCTTATAATGCATTATTTAAGCATTTACAACTTTTTGAAATCAAATATATTAACAGGTGATTCCTATTACGACAACATTATAAGGACGCTGCTTGTAAACCCGAATCTATGTGGAGGAGTGCTCGCCTTCTTCCTTGACAACACAGTACCTGGTAAGTTTACTTTCCAATAGTCTTTCTTTATCACGGCATTTCTGTCACGACAATTCCTCACACACGTTCCCGGTGTATTCTCGTATTTTTGCTAAGTAAACGATAAACCCGACTTACCCTCCAAGGGAAATAAAGCTCACACTCATTTTTATTCTGATTACGTCATCAGATCATTCAGCGTAACCTGGGTAACGTCATCAATTTTGTCACAAATGTTATGCTAACCTTAAAAAAGCTTACCCTCGTGTAACGAATTGTCTGTCTACCTTACACAGATGTTACAGATTCTTCACTATCAAATTTGCGATATCATTGAATGAGGATCTCTTTAAGGAGTGTTTCATCGTATAACTAAATATCATATTTGCTACAAATATACATCAGCAAGAAACAAGAAAGAAAGAGGAAAAAAACTTGTATATACTTATTATAACTCGACCGTGTCAAGAACAAATTTCAGTTCGACCATGTGTATGGACCTAACTGATATGACAGCATAATTACACACTTATTTTTTCAGTTTGTACTTTAATGGGTTTTTTTACCAATGTAAGCGATATATAAAATTCATAAAAGACGTTTAAAATGATTCCAATACAAAGTTTTTAATCGTCTCACTGCTTGATGATGAGTAACTTTCTTACTATCACAATATTCCTCGGTATCAAGATATGTTAATTGCTACAGTTGTACAAACCATGCTAACTACTTGTGACGATGTTGACATTTAGAGGTGTTACCTAAGTGTATCATGGGATCACAAATATAACGAAAGGTGTAGAAGAACTAGTTATCAAAATGTCGTCATTCTTTACAATAAGGCTGCGCGTTGTTTTCAATGGGTTAACCAACGAACGCAATTCTACCGTTTCTGCTATTATTTACAAAGTTTGACTTTCAAAAAAATTGTTATCAGCCGTGAAGTGAATATCTTTTTTTTGTTGTACAGGTGAACCAAAACAACACCTTAAGTTATCATCGCTTCATTTACATTCGAACAGAAAAAGATATGTGGCTTTAAATGAGGCGAATAGAAAACACCACCAATACCAAACTGACAACATAATACTATTACATGTATCTTATATATTTATGCCATCCCGTGAGCTATATTTGTTTGACGAGATTGGACCTAATATCTGATAAGCAACAATACGATAAATATATTTACATGATAACAAATAGGTTATAAACACCAGGTCCTTTTTTATTGTACAAAAAATGTAGCTCAAATTGAATTTCCTTCCCTTTTAGGGACAAGACGTGAACGTGGCATAGATGTATGGCATAAACCAACTACAGGAAACGGAGACATTCCAAATAGTGAATCGGAACTTGCTATTTACAACCCATGGTTTCCAAAAAAATGGTTAAGTAAAAAAATATGTCGTTTCGTACCATTCTGTCCCGATTCGCAACTCATCAAAGTTGACAGTGTTGATGAATATTCACTAGTTCCCGTTAATTCAGTATCTCCGTAGCATTGTTTGAAGTTAGGAAACGCTTATATCAAGCTCAAGATAGTAGAACGAAGAAACTGATAAAATATCAGTAATTCACCTTGATGCATTATAAGACAATTTTTAGCTTTTTTAATCAGTTCTATCATTTTGATTTTAGAAGTAACAGTGATCTAGGTAACTTTTATTAATTCTGGATTAGCATTTAACATCCCCTACCATTGTATCTGTGGTGGCTAAGTTCATAATTTCCAGTCAAAGAATAAATGAAGAAACGCAAAATGAGCATAGTCGTCATTTGAAAATCAAAAAGCAGAAAAGGAAGATGTTTCCATTATTATCTACATTTTTAATACCTCTAAGATGTTTTACAGCAACTATAACGTATGTATACGGTGCGGATTGGAATCACACCGTGTAAGTATTTTATGATTTTTTAAACAAGAAATAATATACTACATTTACTTCTTCATTAACTTAGAGTAACATAATATCAGAAAGGCATTTATGATGTTAACTATAGACTTCGCTACACACAGATAGCAAAACCAAAGAAGCGACACTTCGTCCATCATATAACCGAATAGCATTGGCGCAAGCAGAGCCCCTAAAAATGCCGTTACATTTATAAAACTAGATATTTCGCCTCTAACTGGAATCAAACTTGCATTTATCCAACTCAAGAAATTTGGCCAGACAAGACCAAAGGGGATTCCGATGACGCATACAGATACCCAGACACCAACGTCGCTGAAGGCATGTGCACTTACAGTTAGTCCTACAAATCCAAGTGTGTATGCAGTAGTCGACAGTAATAAAAGTGTATGAGATTTGAAAAAACGGACAAGAACTATGCCACATATACTTCCCAAAAGTCTGGTAAAAAAGGCAGTAGACGTGAGCATTGCTCCTGACATGTTCGTCCAATGAAGATATTTTACGCAGAATGTACTCAGATATCCCGTAAAGGTAAAATCAACTGCATTATGGAATAAACTATAGACACCAACATTAAACAACTGAAGACGTTTAAGAAATATCGAAAAAGTTCCTATGAATTTGTTTTTCTCCTTTGTGACGAATGACATTTTGTTGGATTTTGAAAATCGGAACAATCTGAAAAAAGGCAGAGCAATTACCATACACAGTCCAGCTGAAATTGAATATGCAATATAGAGTTGAGATGGATTGTCATAAGGATCGCGTAATGCGGTTTCATTATAATGACTTCCAAAGCTAATATTCGCAACGGATGATGTGGAGTTATCAGCGACTGAAACGTTGGTTGGAGCCAAGGAAGACGAATTGAAGATATAAGCATGTCTCTTTGCGAGGAATGGTCCTGTCGCTATAGGTGCGAGTACACTTGCAATGATTGATATCGCGCCATGAATCATAAGGTATGAGCGTCCTCTTCCCGTAGGTCCCCAAATTAGCACTGACTCGGAATAGATTGCTGAAAAATTTCAAAACAACAATAGTATACATGCATGAATAAAGAAAATATTGCTGTATTACAGAATCGTTCTTTTTTTACTTGAAATAATCATAGCAGACACTAGCTACTCCTAGGAATTAGCTGTCCGGATACTACTCTAACAAGCAACGTTATGATCAATTTAAACGTTTTGATATTTATTGAATGTTTGATGTCATATCAAAACAAAGTGCAAGTTATAACGACAGCTGAACCGACGTAAGTGTAAGTAAACTTACTCCGAGGACTGTCTAATCTTTAGGCATATATTTCAAAACCCGATGGACTGATTCACATGCCTCGTATACCATAGATAAGTATCTAACTAAAGTTTACGAGAAAGTTTTGGCTATTACTGATAATAAAGGTCATAAACGATGTCAAATGTCTAATGTTTGCATAAGAGCATAAAGAGACTCTCTACTTTAATGCAGAAGGTTCAATAGGTTTTATTGTTTTAGTGAATTTTTATATTACACACTAAATACTTCCTCAGAGAATTATTTTATGACTGCGTCGGACAAATAGTCATCAATAGATTTATAAAACATTCCTTTCTTAATGGCGTATGGGTAGATAGAATATACAACTCGATGGGTTCAGAAATTTAGTAAAATATCCGATGCTTTGCCAAAGGTTTGACTCACAATTCATTACCCCAAGAATATAATTAGCTTTTATTTCTGATAAAAAAAACATTTCCTGTCAGCGTCTATGCACGACAAGAAACTATATCATATATAATGACGCCATGTCATCGAGGAAATATATTTAACACACCACTGGAAATGTCATCAAACGTTCAGAGCATTGAGGACTATTTGTCGTTACATACGGGATTTCGTTGTATGATACTTTGTTTTTGTTTGTCGGACCAGTCATCTTTAATATAAAAGATCGGTAAGTAGGCAAGATGAAATCAGCATTGGTAGACTTAAATATTGAGATCAACATTAGTATAATTAGTTACTGACATCAACATTGTTAGACTTAATTATTGAAATCAACATTTGAAAAAATAATTATTGGGATCAACATTGGTACGCTTAATTATTGAGATCAACATTGGTATATTTAAATATTGAGATCAACATTGATATACCTAATTATTCAGGTCAATTTAGGTATAAATAAATATTGCGATCATTATTGGTATACTTAAATATTGAGATCATCATTGGTATACTTAAATATTGAGATAAACATTGGTATAGTTGATTATTATCAACAAATAATGAAATAACTTACCAACAGCTAGGATACCTCCAAAGATACCCAGCACGACATGAGCGAAGATCATCAGCTCGTAGAGAACGCACCACGGTATGGAGCCCACAACAAGACCAAACATAACCAAAGAAATCCCAAATAAAAGGAATTTATTCATCCTAGAATAAATGACCCCTGCTAGTAAAGATCCCAGGAATCGACCTGTGTAGTATGCTGTCATAAAAGCCGATCCTTTCTGAAGATCAACCCCAGAAATGCGAATGACGTCCGGAAATGCTGGACCAAGCTGACCTTTTATCCACCCCTAAGAAAGAATCAGATAAACTGTTTATAAAAGGTAACGGTTGGGACTCCAGTACGTTAATATTTTCGTTTGTTTATTTATAAATACAGAGATCTAACTTTCGTTTGAGTTCTTGTCTAATTTTAGCCATTACGACTTTTTGGGACTAATCTATAAACAGTCAGAACATTTTATCTAAAAATGGTCATAGTCCAAATAACCTGCACTGCTACAAAGCTAGATCGTTCAATGCTGTGGTTATTAGTAATTAGGTTTCATGGTTTCATGTAAATTCGCGGACTTTCATTTTCAGTACGTGCTCAATGAGTTCTCAATCGACTTCTTATTACAAATATTTGTTTAAGAATCAGACATCAGCAATTTTCAGAAAAATAACATGTTACGAGAAAATGTTTGATTTTCTCTTTATGGTATGAATGTGAAAACTAATGTACGATAAGGGGTTTCGAGAAAAACCCCATAGTATATACCTTTCCTGCATCAAAGATGTTACTGTACAACGGGTGTTTATATACGTTACATACTAAACAAATAATATAACTTTGCCGTAAGGCACTGTATTATTGTGGTCGGCGAAAACAGTAAACAGATAAAAAAAAATTAAAAATAACATGGAAGATATTCCTACTTAAATTACTGTATTTCCCTTTATATTGTAAAAATATTTTCTTTTTATTATTGTTAACGTTATTAATGTAGTATGCACGCCGCTATCAGCCGCTTCATTATCTTGATAAGCATACAGCTGTTGTCAATTGCATATAATTGAATGTTTAAAATGTGAAATATATATAGGCGAACACACACGTTTCGACCATTAAAGTCGCTTTGTAAGGCATATGTAAACAAGATTGTTTGTTTGTTTATGTTTAACGGCCCATCGACGGCTGTGGTCATTTAAGGGCCATGGTGATTTATTCATTTATTTTATTTTTTTAACAAACATGTGAGTAGTGAAGATAAAATCAGATAAAATGGTTAATTTTAAAAGCATTCGCATTGTATGTGTAGATAATAAGCCCAGTTTAAGCAATCATAGAAAATTACTCTCATTAAATTTTTTACTGCACTACAAATATTTTAATCGCAAACTTTGTCGGCTCAATCCGTTGAAGCTACCAGCCAAATATTATGATACGATTCAATGCTTTTCGGTTCTTCAGAAGAGGTTGTTTGAAGTGTTTTGACATATTTGTCCCTGTAGCCTTGTAAGTAGCTCGAAGTCATTTTCCTTCTCAAACATTGTTGGCTCTATCCCAAGCTGTGACCTTTAAAGTAGATTGAAGTCATTTTCATTCGCATTCTTTGATGAGCTCTATCACAAGAAGACATCAGCCAAATATTATGATTATATTCCTTTCGATTATTCAGAAGAAGTAATTCGATGTTTTTGACATATTTGACCCCCGTGAACTTGAAGGTAGGTGAAGGTCATTTTCATTCGTAAACTTCGTCGACCTCAATCCAAAGAAAGTATCAGCCAAATATAAAGATTCCATACCTTTTCAATTCTTCAGAAGAAGTCGTTTGAAGCGTTTGACATTTTTTACTCCTGTGACCTTGAAAGTAGGTCAATGTCATATTCATTCACAAACGTTGTCGGGCTCTTACCAGGAAGCTACCAGCCAAATATGAACATTCTATACCTGTCAGTTCTTCAGAAGAATCCGTTTAAAGTATTTGACATTTGACCCATTTGTCCTTAAAAGAAGTTCAAGCTCGTTTATAGAATACACATATTATTGTTAAGTCACCTAAACCTCGACGGAATTCCTCGTGATACCCATTTCAAATTCGTCAATGCGTGGTTTCATCAGCTTAAGAATATATCGTCCTTGATCGCCATTGATCAAAGACGGTAATGTTAAAATTAAATACGTTGAATGCTTCACTTGTGTATTTGATACATTGTCGAGGATACTGACCATCACAACGTACGCTGACGACACACAGATACTGCGAATGACCTGTAACCTTGTGACCTTGTTGTCTCTTAGTTCAGCGTAGAACGACGATGGCTTGACCTCTGGCACCTTGTTGTCCTCATCATATTCGTCATCCTTTTGCATGGGGACAGCCTCCTGTTCTGACCCTGGGACTCCATACTTGAGCTCTGTATCCATTGTCATTTTTCTTGAAAATAGATATTACAAAAAGCATATTTCTATAAAAATTGTTACAGAGTTACAGAATGTATTGGAATATCTTTTACTTCGGTCGATATGGTAGGCTGACAAACAACATGCGTCTCCAGTTAAAATCACATAGTTGAATATCAAAACACATACAAGCAATAAGTCTTTACTGGGGCTAAGACATCAATGTCGCCATTGTGACATTCAATTTATAAAGTATAAATCAGTTCGTTAACACTGTTGCTAAGTAAATATTTCTTTATCATTGAAATTTGTTCAACAAAACGCTTGAGCATTTTACATCGTCAAAAATTGCGATGAACATGGCATTTTGTTAAATAAATCCACATTACGCTGTATTATGTGTGTAGTAGGGTTAAGGGCAATGACACAAGAGTTTGTCGCCTCAACTCGCGTTGTGTTCTCAGTCAAATGATGACAAACAGGCGACACACAATTCTGTTCGCTCCTACTACCCAAGGTTCATTCTGCCAATGGCAGAGAGTGAAAATATCACCAAAAGTAGATAAAGTTCAACAATTTAATATATATATATATATATATAAACAATGATGATATTTACAATGAAATAATATGTAGTCCTGTAGTCATAACCAATAGATGAACAATATATAAAGAAACGGGTCAAATGAACCCTAAAGTTTACAGTAAATTCATCTATCAAATTGCCTTAATATCTTGTAAATCCGAGATGAAATTCCAGCTAAAGCTGACAACATAGCAAAAATATAACAATATGGGATAAGTTTAACAACTGATGTGCCCCAGGGAAATAGCTACTGGAGTGTCCCTAAATATATAAACAACCCAGGAGTATTATACAAGAGTATTACATGTCAACAAGCCCTAATTATATAAGTACATATACAGAACCCCCCCCCCTGTAAAGTTGATCCAACTACATTACTCAGTAGCGGTAACGTGCATGCGTAAGACCACCAGGACTGCTGTAAACATATCTAACTCCCAACATAATTTCGCCAAACCCTATTAACTAATTAGACTACAGGAACTCTAGTTGAAAGAAAGGTCAGAACATCCTGCTGTCAGGACGATACTAGTGAAACACTAGTGAATTAACATAGAGAACAACATACCGCTGACGGGACGGAGTTAGCGAGATACTAGGATAAACAGAACATCCTGCTGACAGGATGGGTACTAGGGAGGCGAACCTCACCTGTAGGAATGCCCAACAACGTCGGCTGCCGACTAGAAGTACAGAGATCGAATACCCCAAAACTACCGGCTTTTATACGTGTTCAGCAGACGAAAATAGTAAGCAGACGACTGGCTCAACCCGGAATCGGTGACCAATCAAAAAGCAGTTTACATAATCGAACCACTTCCGCCAACATGGCGACAAAATAGGACAACAAACAGTGTACGAAGTACTCTGTAACAAAAAACAGGCATTATGAGCTTCCCCTATAACGCACAGTATTACAAAATGGAATCTAACGGTGAAAAGCTATTCCAGATAGCCTAGTGGCCCTGTGCCATGGTATAAAAAGGTGCGTATAACCATAAAACTTGTACGACAAAAATCCGACTCCGCCACATGTGTAATATGTGTATCACTCCTCACAGGAATGGAACGCAACATGTGGAATGTACATTCTCACAATTCACATTTCAACACGCACGCACACACACAAACACACGCACGCACAAACACGCACATGCATTATCTCTTTCGCTCTCTATCTCACACACAAATACACATACGTATACAAAGCATAGAGAACCCGTGTATACGAACGTGGCTAATGTACAGCAACCATATGTGATATATTTATAGAATTCAATGCCATGTCAGACACAGAAGCTTCACACATAGTCAAGTGATAATTATATTGAAAATCAATAAATGTCATAAATAACAACAGGAGGCCATGAGGAGATAAGATCTGCTTTACTCTACGGTTCCCATCCTAAACATCAAATCTCAAACACCAATTAAATGCTGTGACAGGATGCATGCAATTTTTTCAGATTCCATATCAATAATACATCTAATGTGATTTTGTTGCTACAGTATTAATAATCTATCGGCACTTGTATAAGATACTAAGCTTACCTGTGTGTGTCTCCACCACGTCCTAAAAATCAGTGTGTATAATACACGCTGACTATAGATGACCTGCTTAACTACTCCACGTGACCAGCAACGGTGGCGCTAGTATAACACAAATCTGATTCCACGAGCTCTCGACAAAAACAATTGTGTACACACGAGCCTTGTTAACTATAGCAGTTTGTTGTGCACAGGCAGCGAACTCGGTTGAAATCATGCCTTGGCTGAAGTCATCTAATTGTTTTTGTATTGTGACATTAAATTGTGTACTCCGGTTCAATTCTGATGTAGTGTTAACCCAAATGGATAACTGTGTCAATACAATGCACTACCATGTTATGCTCGGTTCATTTAATGTGTAAATAAGACTGAAGTATAGGTTTGTGTTTACATCCTCACTGAAATGAGTGGCTGCAACGCCTAGGTCTTATTGTACATTGAACCGATTACAGCATTGATGTGATATAAGTGGCCCCGTCATCCGGTTATACCGTCTTCAAATGGCCGCAGCTGTTGCGAGGATTTCAAACACGATACAAACAGACAAAGGCATTAAAGCAATAACGTTTTGAAATAAACTATACGTGAATAGTAAATTCATTATTATCACCTTACAACATAAACATGGTTTAATAAGCAATAATAATCAGTAGCTCTCCAATTTTTATGAACGTAAGAAGACTGGCTTTTCTAGCTGTGCATAATATACTGTAGAAACATGTTTCAGATCAATATCTTATCATCACCCTTATTACTCATATTAATGACACTTGAAACTAAAAAACTAAATTTTAAGAGAGGATTTTTTACTTTACTAGCTAATGATTTGAAAAACGTTATTCAAAATACTGTGTAAGAAAACTTTGAATCGACTACGAGCATATAGCCTTAAAACTAGTTCCTGATTAGGTAACTATAAATATGTAAAATTACCATAAGGACTATCGCCGTGTCCTTCATTTGCCTTGCTTAATTATGTTGTTTTACATTTGGTTGTCAACTGTCGACCACACTTACTGATAATCGAACAATTTAAACAGTGTATATGAATACTAGTATCTTGTATCCGGGACACGTTTAACAGTATTGGACATCTGCACACTATAAACAGTCCTGCTGTAAAAATCTTCAATCGTATTGAAATAAATATATGCAATTTACTTGATGATATATTTTATTAGGTAATTAAAATAATAAATTAAATACAAATAGTATCATATCATTTTCCCTGTGTTGAGGAGAAAAGACAGATTTGTCCTGTATACACTAAGTATACGTAACTGTTGCCCGTGTCTTGTGGAGAGGTTTTGACCGATGCAATTGAAATGTGTGTGCCAAGTAGGTTGCCAGAGTTTGTTCTAGCTTCGGACGTCAAACCGTCAAGTACCATTTGAAATATTTAAAAAAAAATAAAAAAATACAATAATATTTTAAAATATAGTTTGGATTTAATGTTTTGTATTCAATATTAGGTATATATTTGTTGGGTATATATGCCAATTGAAAACGATAATTCTTAAATTTGTATTAAATGTATTTCATACATTTTTTAATGTGTAATAAGCGAATATGTAGTGTTTTGTGGATAAGTAAGTATAACGTTATTGCAATATTAGTATTAGTCGGAACAAACAGCACTAACATATTGTGGTATCGGAAGTTAAGAGCAATTATAACACTTCTGTTTTATTAAGTCCCTATAGAACGCCTTTACCTTGATCACGCATGGAGTTACTCCTCCATCAGCCGAGTATTAGTTTGAAAATACTCCTGCAGACTCATTTGCTCGGCAGTGTTGAGGGATGCCGATACACTCCCTCGGCTGTTTTCGGAATTCCTCACGGAGACCGCCGAATCAATCAGGTGAAATATGGGTGGAACACATATACTGACCTCACACCGGCAAGTTACATGTAGTATAGGTATTGAGACCATAGCGCAGAGGTCATTGACAGAGTGGATACTTTTTGCGGCTTGTGACTTGTAATGTTTTACTTCGGTATACTGCAGCTGGTAATGTGTTCTCGTTTGAGGGAACTACAAATTTGCTATTTCGCTCAAGCTATATAATCACGCTTAGTACGGATGTTCATTTTATCAAAAAGTAAGAATTATGGTTATATAATAACATATTAATATGCAGCTGTATTGCCAAATTCAACGTCAGGGTGGCAGCAAGATTGATAGACTAGTGAACGACCTTTGGGATACAATACTGACACAGCGGGTAACTTTCATTCAATTCAAACGTCAGGAAGACCGGGGAAAATCAATATAATTGACAACTGCAGGCCCCACATCATATGTGTACCTGCAAACACAGTCCAACAGCTGGCCTCACTGGTATCGCATAGCAGGCTTATATAAAGTATGCGAAAGCTTATGTGCAAATGACAATACTGTTGCTTTTAAGGAAATCATTAATCACTACTTGTTCGGAATGTAGGACAAAACGTCAACGTGGAAACCAGAACTAAATTCTATTAATTTTACGAATAGGCAGGACTAGTCGTTGACCTCTACAACGATCAAATTGTCAGCGCTATCTATATATAGACCACTCTGTATTTGTATTAGTGGCCGATTCCCTCCGAACAAAGAAATGTAGCAACAGGCGTGCTAAGTCTAGAGACATATATGAACCAGCAGAGATTCAGTTGTTTTCACTATTCTCCCCTACTAACTACATTGTCTGCCTCCCTATCAAACGTCGGAACAACTCTTATCCTACTCGACGAGTCCACTTCACTGGCGAGTCTATTATTTAATTCACTGATGCAATTTCACAGATCAGTCGTACTCTTGTTTTAGTTCAGTATTCTATAAGATATAACAAAGAATATATACAACATTGATTGATATCTTATATTCAAACGCGCATTCTGTACACGTACCATATTTTTACACTGCATTTCCCCAACTCTCTTCTAACTTGGCCTGTTATTTATTCACGTCACTATCCCTAAGCTATAGTTGATAATGTTGGTTACGATGAAAGGTAACAGATTTATATAAGTTTATTAACACTTGTTTCTGTCTCCAATTCATTTATGTATAATCATATTTGTATTATGTATTACATAATTATGTTATGTGAATAAAACAAAGTTTAAACTAAACGCGAATTTACAATTAATCATTCTACACATCGAATGTACAAGAATTAATCAACCTGTTTGTTCGATGTTTACCGACGAAGCGTTTTTTTCTCGGCCACATTTTTTTTCAGCTGTGACGATAAACACCAAACAAATCCTTGATCTCAAACACCTCAAAGATACCTTTCCGATTCTGCCGGTTCCACAAAAATAGTTTTCTCATACTTCATTCCCATATCCTGTCTATTGTCTCTGGAGGTGCACTTTGGGACTTCTGTAGTAATCCGTGTTTAGTGTATGTAAACTCACGTTTATCTTTATTCTAGTCATGTCAAGGTGTGCATGCCCTTTACCTTAGAGACCTCCACACAAAGAAGGTGAGTCTATGCTATCATGCTATGTTGTGATTTATAGAAGTCATTAAGATAGTTGGTGGTAGGATAGTGGATTTTGTTTTGTTCATCGTATTTAGTGTTCATATTAACATCTATAGTCATTTGAGAACCTGCCGCTGTGTGTGAAATGTATGCACGTGTGCAAGAGAATAGTTCGTGAATTTGCTATCTTTAAGCGTCAGAGAAATTTCATAACTCGGACACGGCAGCTCGACATTACTCCACCTGGTCGGTTTATGCTGACAGCAGACTAACCAGTCCCCACCAATACTCGGTTAAAGCGGGGCATCAGCATAGAACAGTAACTACCAATTCCAACGATTTTTGTTTGTCTCGAAAAGGAGACGGTACCAATGAGGAAGACATTTGGAAATAAATAAAAGCGAATCATTGTGCAATTATTACTGCAAATAGTACCCAGACGGTACCGCAACCGACTAAAAAAAACAATAACGTTTGGTGACGCAACAGCTTGCGCGCAACGTTCAACGTCGCCACGCTCGCTATATCTCATAACCGTTGGTCAGGAAGTGAGAGATGCCTAAAACATAACGTGAATATATCGATTTAACACGAGTCGATTGTTAGCGCGACTTAAATTGAGGAAGGGCAACAAGAACATTGTGCAACTTGATGTTTTGGCGAACCTACTTGGCACATACCACTAATTATCTCTCTTGCGTATTTAAAAACTCTGTATTACTTTATTGCGAGCGTCACACACAACTGATTAATATGAAAAGATATATTTGCGGAAAACAAGTACTTACGGCTGAAACGTGATGTTGATATGAAGGGATTTTTCAACTGTTTACACCGCCACACTCACGCAAAGGAGCATATGTAACGCACCAAGGTTTTGGGCGTTGCGTTCCGTTTATTTTACCGGCCGCTACCGGAAATGATCGAGAGGGCTTCTGGGATACAGCACTTTGGCTCCCGATATAATACAGGTAAGACGTGTTTTGTCTAGCTAAGTAATCCAATGATTTAAGTATTCTCTGTAATAATGCGAGGTTAATTATGATACAATTTTCGGGAGACATGCCGGTTTCCATACCGTTTGGAGGAGAGATGTATGTTGATAGCACGCACTTAGATAGTAGCTGGACATTCACCGCCCTGTCTGTTTTGGGGCTTTTAGGGAGGGTTTCTATGAGCGGTAGGCTCCTCTAGCTCACGTGAAGGAAAGTTGCATAAATAGAAGGGTTAACGGGAAAGCTATTGAGTGGAAGTGATAGCCGTATGTTCTCGACAAGGTGCCATCCTTATCTTGTGGAGAGCTTTATAATTCGTTCCAATGTATCTAGCTTGGTTGTAGAGTGCGTACAAATTATAGACAGGGCCATGTTACTTTTTATTTCACCGAATGTTGGTGGGGGCACGAGAGTATCGGTAGTTTGTCCTACATAACCAATTTCAGGAGGCGGGGTTGGTGGCATTTAAAACTATGTATCCAGGGTGGTGTGCGACAGAGGCTGCTGGTAGCTAGAGGGGGAAGCCATCCTACAGGTATTGTTAGCTTTTTGGGGCAATTAAGTTCACTTCTGCTAGGATTTGAGTTTCCTGATACTCCAATCTATTTGGCAAACTTTAATTATTTCATTTAAAAACGTTTTGTTCAGAGACACTTAATTTGGATTTATAGTTGAGATATTTACTGTGTCAGTTTCCCGTTATTCAGTCTTACCACAAAAAAAAAAGTTGACAAGTCACAGAGGTTAAAACTGCACCGTTAAAGACATGATAATTTACGTAACAAAAGCATGCACGTCTGTGCCCACCGATCTAGTCTCGTTCAACCAGACGTTTGATCACTTGTAATTCAAGAGTCTGGTCAAAC